AAAAGGGGCACTTAGGAATGTAAAGTAGAGCAGTGAGGCTCACTGGGTTAGAGAGGTTACAGGAAGGGATGAGAATGTAAAAAAAAGAAAAGCTTAGTCATAATTATGTGAGGGTGGTAATGTAGCAGATTTAATGATTCCCTGGGAGAAAAGGTTTGAAATGAAAAAGCATGTCAGAGAGAGACACTGTAACACAGTGTAGGTACTGCTGGTTCAACCGGTCTGCCCCAGTGAGACTGCAGTGACAACCTATTTTTTATTGGGGTCTATTAGTTTTCTAGATTTCAGTTCCCTTTCTGCTATTCTGATGGAAGACCACTGTATCACCATACTGCGATTACTATTATTATTATGATTATTAACTGTTTCTTTTATACTGACAACAACTGGAACACTGTAGAGATATAAAGATGGGATTTCTTGCATTATGACCGATGATTGAAACATGGATGTACATATGCTTTATCAATTAAAACAGACAGCTTTTATATGCTGCAACACTAAACTGATTTTTTTTCCATACTTTCCAAGAGAGTACAAAAGAAAAGGGAAATGATACACAAGTGAATATTAGATTTGAAGCAATAAAAGTGTCAGCAATCACAGCCGCACACTGCAGGGTCCACTTACACATCATATTGTCGCCATGGCAGCTAGGCGAAACTCATGCTGTTGCCCTTGACAACTGGAGTCTTCACAGGGACCTTCAGGCTGTGCTCCTGTTAATGGAACAGGTCATTAAAGTAAAGACATTGCTCACTTAAATGATTATAACCCCAATCACATCTTTAAAATCTTATTAATGTCTGAGAAATAAAGTGGATGTTAACACAGAATAGCTTTATATTATTTTCAGTCCTCCATTTGCAATGGAATTATCATCTGGTAAAGCAGAAGACAACAGGCGTTAAATAATAATTATGTCATATGAGTTGGTGCCAGGCCATTTTATTGCTGAAATAAACTATATTAAAATGTCCTAACTTTAGAACTAAAATGCAATGCTAGCTCAGTATGCTGCTACAACAGAGCACAAACAATAGGAGTTTAAAATAAAACAGCTTTAGTGGTATTTGTTTTACCTCCATACCTACAATCAACACCCCCTCGCCAAAAGTGCAGAGTGCTCTCTAGAAATCATACATAACAGTCTCACGCTCCCCCCCCTTGCACCCTTGAATGACAGAACAATGAGAGAATAGAGGAGCAGATTTCCATAACACTGTCCCTTGCTGTGGCTCTGAGCTGCTCATACTGACCTGGTGAGAAAAGCCTCGCTCTCATTAGCTCATGGAGAGCACATTCCTGTCGGTGGGTTCAACAGGCAAAGTGAAGACCTCTCCACTGAAAAAAAAAAAACTAGAGGAAAATAAATACATGACAAGACAGAACTGGTGGTGGACCTACTGGATATCTCACATGCCACCTTTGTACTGACTTAAAAAGTGACAACTCCTATAATTAGCAGCCAATATGATGCGACATTTCAAAAAGGTACTGAGGATTGGGCTTTGTTTAAATGTCACAGGGTGTGTGGTTTTGTTTAGACCCATTTTCTAGGCTTAAATGGTCTTAATTGGAGGACACTATAAAAGGGTCAAAAAGAGCCTTGCTGTGGCTGCCAGAGACAAGAAAACTCCGTCACTGTGCCTGAAAGCTGGTGAATATGTCTTTGATGGTGACTGTGTGGAGAGAGTGTGTATTTCTCAAGGGTGTGTATACTTGTGTATGAGAACTTTAGAATGTGTGTGTGGCACAACAAGACAAAGGGGAGAGTGGGATAGAGCCAAGTGAGCCGATAAAAGATGAGCTGGAGAGAGCGAGGCGCTAGATGCTCACAGCTGAGCTAAATTAGTTCATCTGCTTTGAATCGACTGAATACAACCAGCACAAAGGTGAAGTTTATCATGGAAAATGTCCCTGTAATATCATGGCTTTATAGCATTAAGCAAAAATTAAATATCTGACAAACATTTTTGAAACTATTGCTCTTTATTATTTTTTATAAGAGATTTCTCTCTTTAATCATTCAAAGACTATTAAGGTAAACAAGAATATTCTCAAGGACCCATGACTTCAAAGTGTGTGAAAAATGAAAACAGAAGAGTGAGGTCACTATAAAGTCAGATACACGCAAACTTTATTCAGCAACAACAAACCATAAGAACAATCAAAACAAGCACATTTTCTGTAAAACACAGGATACTATATTTCAGGTAAATAGTAGCTCATGTGCTAACAAGCCATTTTATGAACCAATAAATATTGAGCATACTCAAACGTCTAGCTTCACCTTGGCAACAAGGCAGAGAAAACAGCACTGGTCTTGACAATACAGTGTGAGGAGGAGGACAAGGAATCTTTTTTCAGGATGAAGAGAGAAGAAAAAAAAAAGGAACTGGTGCAATCCAGTTTGTGGCTCCCGCCGTTTAAAAACTGGGAGCTGGAGGGAGCTGCAGCTGCCTGGTTTCCATAGTGATGTGGATGCAGGAGAAGTGAACTGAGAGGAAGAGAGATAGACTATGAAAGGCAGAAATGGAACAAGGTACTAGATGAGAACACACCAAGAGGGAGAAATATGTCTAATGGCAAAAGCAAAGTAAATTCAATACAGAGGCACAGTGGCTGAAGTGGAAAGATGGGCAGTGAAGAGGGAAAAGGAGGTAGTCAAAGAAAAGAAGCAGGAGATGTCGGAGGGATGTTAAGCTCAGACATGGATCCCCAAGACTTGCCACTGGAGACTGCCACCTTCAGGGGAACCTGGGGAACACACACATCAAAGAAAAGGGAAGGGTGCATTCACCTAATTGCTGTGTAAGACAAGAGCAGCCTCAAAATGGATGATTTTAAATCAGAAGTGCTCTTTTGTTGGTAGCACAACATTCACAAATGCTAAGAATTTCTGAATCAAAAAAGGCAAGATCTCTTGATTTACTTTACTTACACAAAACTGCTTCCCTGTGGCTGGCTGGTTGTGTTTTAAAAAAAAGTTGTTCATAATTTCTTTTCCTAAAAAAAGCAGTAAGGGTAATTTCCGACTCCATTAGTCTGGGTCCAATGGAAAAAAAAAAAATCTATAACTTTGCATCCAGGATTGGATGAATGTGTGAAACCCTCTGCATTACCCCATCATGAACATGGCAACCGACACTGCTACACTACAGAATGATTTCAGTTACAGGTTTTCGTCACTCACTTTGAGGTGGATACCTAAATGGTGAATGTGCTGCAGGGACTCCATGGTATTCTTCACCAAAGCTGCACACACATAGCCATACAAATAATAATCAGACTAGTTAACCATTGCAATAATTTAAAGCCTTTTCATGACAGTGTATAGACACACACATACAGTATGTAAATTGTAGCATTTTTACTTCAGTGAACCAAAACAGGCTTTAATATACAAAACAAATTTCAAGCATATTTACTAACTGATGCCCAGGATACTGACGGCAGAATATTTACCTGCAAAGTGCTCCACCTGAGAGTCCTCCACTTCATACAGAAGTTCATCATGGAGCTGTGCTATCAGCCTGGAAAAACAAACACATTCAGAAACATATAAAGCACCAACTACCCTACTACCACAACAATAATGTTGAGTCATAACTCTGCTGACCAGGACCAGAGGGAGAGAAGACATTACAGCTGTTTTAAAGTTCACACATTTGTTGTGTGGACAATGGAAACACACAAAGCCCGGTACGGTATGGGTAGGGGTTTCTGGCGGCAGTAGAAAGACCACATTAACTGTTTCAAAACACAGGAGAAAAATTTTCCTGAGGCTGCTTTTAGCTTTTATGCTCTGAGCCACTGGAACATGAGAGCCACTAAAGGTTTTAGCTATTTTTAAACACAAACTTAAAACCCCTTTAGCCTGATTTTGGATTAAATGTTTTATATCTTATTTATTTTATTTAATCATTTATCTTATGGCATTCATTACTTCATTTGATCCACTCTCTCTTTTATTTGCTGCTGTTTTTAATCTATTTTAGCTACTCTACCTTTTATTTAGTTTATTTTTATTTTTACCACTTTTATTATTAATTTATCACTATTTTTATTTCTTATGTATTTTACTGTCATATTGTTTTACTTTTAGCATTTAACCTAGCTTATGATCAGTTTGTCAATCATACTGTATGTGAAGCACTCTGAAATGTTCTAACCTGTACGAAAGATAATATACAAATAAAGTTTAGAATGACTGGATCGATGTTTTGCCTTTCTATATTCCGACTGATCCACACTGTGAAGAACCAGTGTGTATTCTACTAGTGCAGTCAGGTGAAAGGAGAGAATGGAGGGGACAGTGTTATGTATAACATGGGATCCTCAGTCGATGGTGCCATGTTTAGAGGTTGTACCTGGCAGAGATGGAGTTGGAAGAGGAGACCAGGTTGAAGATTCTGATCATGGCCATCTTACAGAGATCAGCAGCAGAACCTGTACAAAAATCCACATGCACATGTGTTTAACCACTATATCCACAAACAGGTCACATCTAACAGCTGCCCTTTCCTGATCATCAGAAGTATACAAACTGATGCTATTGTACAGAACCCAGTCATCGGACAGTCAGGCTACCTTGGATAACAAAGTTGACAGCCTGCCTCTCAGCCTGCATACGGAAGCCCCAATCTGGAGAGCTGATGTTAGGGAGGCTCCGCCGCCGACCCATGATGGATAAGACATAACCTAAAAAAAGTTTTGACTTTGTATCATCTTGTGTCTCAAGGCATATACTGCTTCACATGCATAACAAAGCACATTTAACCAAACAAATACTACAAACACATCTTGCATTAGACATTACAAAAAAACAGTAGCTGCAGTGCCATCAATTTAGCCGCTCACTTTCACATTCGGTGGTCAGTCTACACAAGTACACTGAAATATACTTTGAACTCAAACTCAAATTTAACAGCTTGAAAAACAGAAGAAACGAGTTCTGCAGTCTGTTTAGTCAGGCCAGTGTAATAAATCTTCTGGTTGATGCCAAACATGACATTTTTCAAATAAAACAAGAAAGGGGTCTGATATTACCAGGCAGAGGCAACATTACTTTAGCATGTGCAGTTTAATAATAATAATAATCACCTTTATTTGGCCAAGTTGTTACACACAAGGAATTTGTTTCCGGTACAGAACCGAGGCAGCCATCTGCGGCACCAACTCACAGTGATGGCTCTAACCATTGGGGGCAACTTGGGGGTTCAGTGTCTTGCCCAAGGACACTTCGACATGTGGACTGCAGGCACTGAGATTTGAACCTTCAACCCTCCAGTTGGGAGACAACCGCTCTACACACTGAGCCACAGTCACCCGAAATGTTAAAATGTTAACCCAAGCACTTGACTCACAGTGTCGGAGCAGATAAGTAGGTGTTTAGCTTTACAAGGCAACTGTACCATGCACTGAATCAATACTGTATGATCGGAAAAATAACGACTGGGTCTGTGCATGGGGTCCAAACAATCTCTGAAGAAAGTACATACTGTATGTCATTGTACTTTGCTGCAGATATAATCTATATTTGGCAGAAAGACACATATGTTACAAGAGCATAAGAAAAGCATACAAGGCAGAGACACATGTAAGTCAAGTTACATAAAGGGTTTTTTTTTTTGAAGGTATAGTTGCTGGGTAGAAATACCTACATTTGGTAATGGGGGGGGGCTTAAAGACAACGGACACTGGTGGCATCACATCACATGACACCTGTAATACAACGGGAGCGACAGAAATTCAGTGCAGAACTATGAAAATGGGTGAGTATGTCAGTATTTCATTCTTTTGATGTGTGTTGACGCCAGGCAAACGGGACAATACCCTGATGCAGCGATGTGCATCAACCTGTGATGATGGCTGTCAGTTCATTGCCGGTGTGTGGGCTTCCACTGAAAATGATGGGAGCAGGGGTTTTGATGCATCACACACTGTCAGTGTATAGTGCCCTTGGGAATCAGTTACATAGGTCTCAGAGAACAAGTATAAAGTCAAGCTGTTTGAAAATCAGGGGGTCTATGCCAATTGTTGGGGAAAGAGATCATCTGACATTGGTCTGAGAATGTATTTGCTGTTTCTTTGGTTGTTTTATAATCTTAAACCATAGATACTTCACTTAGATTGATTACTCACATTTTATTTCTTAAATTGATTACCACTTATATGTGATAAATGCTTTCATTCTGCTAATGTACATTCTGATTTCTTTGTTTGCTTGATGATGTGCAACTATGGAACTTTTTCTTGCCCACGCTCCTGATTACATTTTCTCATTTTTATAATTGACTTGCTCATCTGCTCATAATCAAATGTCTTCACATATTCACACTGGTCATTATCAGCTGTTATTATTTTGATGACATATTTTGCTCAGATTTTGTCATATGGTATATACAGTGACAGACATATTGATCAGATATGATTTGGACTGAATTATTAATTGATTACTTCTATCCTTAATCTGATCAGTTCATTGACCAAATTGATTATTTGTTTGTTGTTTGATTTTTGGTTTCCTTAATAGGTTATTTTGGTCACAGATTAACATTAAATCGGTATTAGCATTTGAAGAGTATACAGTATGTTCATATTTTAGATATCAAGTAAAATCATTGCATATTCTCTAGGATTAATGTTTTGTCTGGTTCATTTTTCAGGTCAGATCAATAAAAAAACTGCCTCAACTCTGAATCATGTTTTGGTTTAAAACTCTGGATGGAAAAACTCTACTTATTCTGAACCATTTTAGTCCTTTCAGTCAAATCATCCATAACCACAGGCTGAGCAGGTCCAAAGCTACAGAGTGTAATTTGAAGAGAACAGGGTCAGGAAAAGTCACTTGTTGATACAGCACTGTACTGTAAGTGATTATGATAAGAGCAGGCTTATAATGACACAAATGTACACCCACATACATACACACACACACACACAAATCCTGCTATACGCGTGATACAAAAGCAAAGAGAAACACTCACATTCCCAGGAAAGTCACACAAAAACAGTGGAACGCAACACAAACATGTTCAGGGGAAGTGATGTACACAAAATACACACATATACACACATTATATGCAGGTGTGCAGCATGCACAAGCTCACACAGTGGGACCAGTGCATTACATCAGATGGACAATGGAGTTGGTTTTACAGTTAAATCCCTCTAGTAACCCTTACTATGAGGTAAGCCAACCATGGCATGAACACTAAATGATCGTCTTCCCAGAACAAACACACACAGCATACATGCATAAGAAATTAGTACACTACAGATTGTAACAAACACAAAAACCTTGACACAAGCATGTGACCTTTTTACTAGGAACAATGTCGGACCCACTGACAGAGATGTGCCGTGTATTTTGTTTATGTGATAACACACCACACAAATGTCTACGGACAGTTATGACCGTGATTCATCCTGAAATGTGTGTGTTTTTCCAAGCCCAGTAGGCTCAAGCCAGTGACAGTGCTGTGAAGGTCAGCGCTTTTCAAGTTTAGGCAGTTTTCATGGTCAGTGATGTGTAGAAAGTGGTAGCTGTTTGATTGGCAGCAGCACTGGAAATCAGGGCTGGGCAACAATTCAGTAGCATTATTTAGTGAGTTTTAGATGTTTTGGCACATACTGCCACAATACAAACATGGTTGTGTTTTAAATTAATGATTCCAAGCCAAAATGTAATTAAAAACTGACAATTTTCATTTTTTAAGTAGAACAATATTGAAGTGGACTTAATATTTGAAGGTTGAGGCTTTAATAAGGCCTTCAGGTTTAGTCTGGGCTAGTGAAGATTTCAGAACACATTATGAAAAACCGGAAGTAATTACAATAAAATACATTTGCCCTGAATGTAATATCTCAATATGTTGGAACCTTTCAGAGTACAGACATCTGATTTTCTCATCACTGATTTCTTGATGTATTGATTGAATTGCAGCTGAGTACATATAGCTGAGTATGGCTGCCATTTATTAATGTTCTGTTTGCCAGCTCCATTCTCTGCAAGAGTCTGGTGTCTGCTGAAAAATGTTCATGTGCATGTGTATGAACAGTTTGACAGTTCATCAGAGCCAGAATATGCTTATGTGTGAGTGCTGGCACAGCAGGGTGTTTACATATCGTCATATGCAGATCTAGGCTTCCTTGTCTGCCGCGGCCTTCAAAAGACTTGGCTAGTTTTTATGTCTGATTCCTCATGTTGTGTTTAAAAGAAAAAACTCCTTATCTCTTCATCTTTTTCCTCAGGCAGTCCTTACAAGTGAAGGTACAGCACTCATCTCAAAACATTAATGAACTCTACATGATATGAAGAATGGGACAGGCTTACCCAGAGTGTCAGCTTTATCTCATTTTAATATCAAAGACAGTGCATTTGAAACAGAGTGTGGACCATTCAGAGAAGCACAGCCATGATGGCTATGGCCATGAAGTCATATTTTGTAGTTTACAGTAAAAACTCATCTTTGTACCCTTCTTTCTGGGTTGTTGGATTTCTACACTTGATCCTCAATAACATCCACAGCCTTTTCCTCCTGGTTATCCTGTCTCTGCACTGCGATACTGACCTCACCTTCACATTGCCCTTTCCAGTACATTTTTAACAAATATGACAATAGCTGAGTCTACACTGTTGACCTCACCTCTGTACAGCCTGCCAACACCCATCAGTTCTCAACAACTGTATAAGATAATAATCAACCATACTCAGTGTAGAGTGGACAAGGGGTAGCAGCACACATTAATCTCTGCTCCTTGAGTCACAGCACTGCAGCTAAAGCACAGGCTAGCGTGATACTGTAGGTCTCCTCCCCGCCAGCATAGATTATAGAGGACTATTTTAAGCCAATGTTCCTCACGGCTTCATTCAGACACACCCACGATCGTGACAGAGAAAGAGCCACAGTACGTGAGTTATATTCGCCACATGCAGAAGACTGGACAGTACTGATGTGAGGCCAGAGATTTCTTGCTACAACAAGGCTGACAAACAAGATTGTGTTCCAGGAGAATTTTATTTCTCATATTACTGCTGTTTAGGGCATTCTCCAAAACAATCATGGTTTTTAGTGAGCTGAACACCTCACAAAAATGCACAATAGACATGTGCAGACATCTAGACCATCATGATAAGTATGTCATTGTGCGGGTCTTTCCATTAATGTGACTGCATGCAGTTCAGACTTGTGCTGTGCTTGAAAGTGACACAGTACATAAATGTTACTAGGTATGACCTAGTGTAAGTGTAATTGTAATTGACTTTACAGAAAAGTGACCAATGTGTTCATTCATGAAGTCGACACCTTCAGATGCCATCAGATTAATGGAAAGGAGCACATGTCTGAAAGGGGCTTTATAAAAGTGCTATATTTCTGCTGGGGAGTGACAAAAGGAAAAGAGATATGGAAACAGCGACATAGACTGGACAGGAAAGAGGAAAAGGAAGGAAGACAGATGGAAAAGAAGGGTGAAAAGAAACAAAGAGAAAGAGTGAGACACAAACTGAGGGAAAGCAAGACAGAAAGAGGGTGGAACAAGAGTGGCACAAAAAAATCCAAGCACCATCTCCGATGGGAGCATCACCATGGTGATGAGCTGAATTAAAGTTGACTGTCTGGTGCATCGTCACTCAGCCCCTGAGAATAAGGAGACTTCCAATGTGATTGATCTATACGCAGCATTTTAGAAGACTGAGCCCATTATGCTGCTTCGATTAGGAAGCTGACACTGGGGAAAGGGATGTAATGAGGGGGGCGCACAGTGTGTCAGTGGTGATACAGTAGCACTTGTCTGTGCACGTCTCTAGGTCAGTGTTTGTGAAAAAGGTGTCTGCCATCCCAGCTGGCATATCTACTGCCCTGAACTCTCTTAATGTTTACTACAAAACAAGGTTATTTTTCAACACTTGTTATACAAAATAAAACAACTCAGGACCTAGTTTTCCCATTCAGCAACATTTAGAGAGATTAGGTTAAGTTGACATAAGTGGCTCTCTCTCACTGTTTTCTAGTCATTTGATTAGGATGTTAAGTGGTCTGCTCTGTTAACCCATCAGTGTTTTATTAGCCAAGGGAAACTCAATACAGCACACATAATATGCAGTTAATATTGGAACAGATCACAGGTCAGAGGCTGAGGTCTGAACCCGAATGTAGTGCTCAGTGTTAAAGGATCTGTTTTGGTGCAGTCTGATCTCATCCCCTAAAAAATGCAGGGACTAACCCAGACATACTGTATACACAGTTACCTACACACATTTCTATCATATTTGAGGAGACACCTTGTTGACTTCAACCATTTGCCACCCTTAACATTAATGCATAATTTCCATATGTTAAATGTGAATTACTTCTAATCATATAAATAAATATTTTGCTATTAATTTCTGGCACACAGTTCTTATACAGTGATTGACATATTTACTTCAGCATCTATTCTTTTAGGAACATTAAGACTTAAGGCAACCTTAAGGCAATGATTCACATACAACAAGCAATGGCAATGTGAATATACACAGACCTTGCTTGTGGCACTGCTGGATAGTTCTCTGGATGAAGGCCTGGACTTCTGTGTAGGTTTGGAGGAAGCTGTCCTGGAAGTGTCTGGCCTGCTCAGTGCTCACCCCCAAAATCCCAGACAAACGCTCACGACCTGTAGTGATCATTTACAAGTCAATATCTAACTTGCATTTAACTATCAAATTAAAATTCAAAGGAGGATTTTACCATGGGTACATTGATGCCATGCAAACCCACAATGGTTAGCCTTATGCTAGCGCCAATTTATACTATCCTTAAGTATATTCCACTAAGCTAATAAGCTAAATGGTTGCTTGCGGTGGTTTCATATTTATCAAAGATCCATCAGAGAGTGGGATCAATCTTCTCATCTAAATCTCAATATGAAAGCAATTCTGCATATTTCCCAAAACGTCAAACTAATCCTCTCATATCAATGTTGTGTGATGATGACCACAAATGTGCATCATGAAAGACTAATGCAAAAGACTAAGCTGACAAATGAATAATGAGAAAACTTAAATGGAGCAAAACTACCTTTATCAAGACTGTAGCGTTGTAGAAGGCCAGGAGAAGAGAGTAAAGTTAAAATCAAGAGAGTGAACAGAGAACAGACTGGACCAGAGGGTAGAAGAAGTAGAACCAAGTTAAGGGTGAGAGATAAGAGAGGACCAGACAAAAGCAAACTGGGCAAAGATCGGGGCAGCACTGCAAGGTCTGTGTGGTTTTGAGCTCTGAGGGGTGTACATTGTACCCCTTTAGTTCAGTCTTCCCAAGACTAACCTCTGAGTAATTAATTAATTATATGTGGTTGGCGATGAGTAATGTCGTGCCAAACAGCCCACCGGTTAGTAGGAGGGTTACTAGGGGCAGCAGTAGTTTTTGCATACCAGAAACTACTGGTATCAAACATGCAGACATACAAACATATGTTTGCTTATCATTAGTTCTCTTGGATGTTTCATCTTTACTGTGCATATAGTATGGTACAGTGGTGTGAAAAAGTATTTGCCCCCTTACTGATTTCTTATCTTTTTGCATGTTTGTCACACTGTAATGTTTCAAATCATCAAACAAATTTAAATATTAGTCAACGATAACACAAGTAAACACATCATGCAGTTTTTAAATGAAGGTTTTTATTATTAAGGGAAAACAAAATCCAAAACTACAAAGCCCTGTGTGAATAAGTGTTTGCCCCCTAAACCGAATAACTGGTTGGGCCACCCTTAGCAGCAACAACTGCAATCAAGCGTTTTCGATAACTTGCCATGAGTCTGCCACAGCGCTGTGGAGGAATTTTGGCCCACTCATCTTGGCAGAATTGTTGTAAGTCAGCCACATTGGAAGGTTTTCGGGCATGAACTGCCTTTTTAAGGTCATGCCACAGCATCTCAATTGGATTCAGGTCAGGACTTTGACTAGGCCACTCCAAAGTCTTCATGTTGTTTTTCTTCAGCCATTCAGAAGTGGACTTGCTGATGTGCTTTGGATCATTGTCCTGCTGCAGAACCCAAGTTCGCTTCAGCTTGAGGGCACAAACGGATGGCCGGACATTCTCCTTCAGGATATTTTGGTACACAGCAGAATTCATCGTTCCATTTATCACAGCAAGTCTTCCAGGGCCTGAAGCAGCAAAACAGCCCCAGACCATCACACTACCACCACCATATTTCACTGTTGGTATGATGTTCTTTTTCTGAAATGCGGTGTTACATATACGCCACACATAATGGGACACACACCTTCCAAAAAGTTCAACTTTTGTCTCGTCTGTCCACAGAGTATTATCCCAAAAGCCTTGGGGATCATCAAGATGTTTTCTGGCAAAACTGAGACGAGCCTTTATGTTCTTTTTGCTCAGCAGTGGTTTTCGCCTTGGAACTCTGCCATGCAAACCATTTTTGCCCAGTCTCTTTCTTATGGTGGAGTCATGAACACTCACCTTAACTGAGGCAAGTGAGGCCTGCAGTTCTTTGGATGTTGTTGTGGGGTCTTTTGTGACCTCTTGGATGAGTTGTCGCTGCGCTCTTGGGGTAATTTTGGTCGGCCGGCCACTCCTGGGAAGGTTCTCCACTGTTCCATGTTTTCGCCATTTGTGGATAATGGCTCTCACTGTGGTTCGCTGCAGTCCCAAAGCTTTAGAAATGGCTTTATAACCTTTTCCAAACTGATAGAGCTCAATTATTCTCTTTCTCATTTGGTTTTGAATTTCTTTGGATCTCGGCATGATGTCTAGCTTTTGAGGATCTTTTGGTCTACTTCACTTTGTCAGGCAGGTCCTATTTAAGTGATTTCTTGATTGCGAACAGGTGTGGCAGTAATCAGGCCTGGGTGTGGCTAGAGAAATTGAACTCAGGTGCGATAAACCAGTGTTGTGACAGGGGGGCAAACACTTGTTCACACAGGGCTATATAGTTTTGGATTTTGTTTTCCCTTAATAATAAAAACCTTCATTTAAAAACTGCATGATGTGTTTACTTGTGTTATCGTTGACTAATATTTAAATTTGTTTGATGATCTGAAACATTACAGTGTGACAAACATGCAAAAAGATAAGAAATCAGTAAGGGGGCAAACACTTTTTCACACCACTGTATATGTGCAGAGTTTTTTGCATTAAGAACAATAAACTAAAAATTCAAAATGCTGCCAACATGGACTTTGTTTTTGGAAAGTCAGCCTCAGAGTAGAAGATGAAGACATCTGAGTTAATTCGAATTGTCATGTCTGCCTGTTTGGCGCGTACACGGCTGCTGAATATGTCATGACCCCGACCCCTTCAGCAGCATGCCTGGTTATGTGTTTGTGTGTTGAAGCCACTGAGTCTGATGTGTCTGCTGTATGTAACAGGGATGCAGAATGAGACAGATGTTGCCTTGCAGATGTTGTGTGAAAGCTATAGAGCACGGACTCTGGATTAGTGTGTTACTTTGTGTGAAGCCCCACATTCCTTCTGGATGAGGTCAGATCACGGAGGGACCTTTAACCTTCGTTAGTGACGCTCCCCACACTACTCCTCTTGTACCCCTCTCTCATTCCAGTTTGTCTTCTCCTATAAGTTCTTCTACTCCAACAACCCTCCTGTTAATTCTGCCCTTTGTTTTCTGTTTTCTTGTTTGTCCTCTTTCTGATGCCAGTGTCCTTTCTATTATTAAGAAGCTGCAAAAAGTCTTCTGTTGATATTGCTAGTTTAAGAATTTTTCTAAACTAAATGTAGATCAGTTTAAAACCATTTCTCACCTACTCCATGTATTTCTTTATTAGACACTATTACTAGGCCTTTCTATTTGGTTACATGTACGTGTACATATGTGTGTATATGAGTTGAAGCACTCCTGCCCCTCCTCCCTGGCCTGATTATTGTTTGGCACAGAAAGCTTCCTTAGTATTTGGTATCCACGGCAACACATCCTTTCATGAAGAGCTGTCTGTCTATGCTGATCAGGAGCTCCTTCCATTCTTCTTCTCATTTCCCTTGTTCCTTCGCTTACTCCTTCCCTTTACTCTACTTTACTCCCTCGTCTACCTCCACCACCTCCCCTTTCTTTTTGTATGTATTTTCATCATTTGCCTTGCCATAATTTTTCCACACTGACCTTTTGCTTTCTGAACTTTCCCCATGCTACCCTACATTTCTCAAATTAATAGCTTTAAGATAAAGTATTTTGCCTTGTTGACTATTATTGTGGAGGATTGTTGAATTATGTTTGTGTGCTTATGTTTACTTTCTCCTGCTGAGCTGTGACTCCTGCTAAAGTAGAAATAGCATAGAGCGCTCCATCATCAGTGTGTGAGTATAGGATTTTGCTAAGCTCTTGAATGGACTGAAAGCATAAGTGAGAGACAGCCACTGGCACAGCTCCTTGCATGCATATTCTGATGAAAACCATATGCTTTAGGGTCACCACTGAATGCTTGCCAAATCTGTGCTCTTCCTGACAGTCTAAAGATAGATAGATTAGATAGATAGATAGATAGATAGATAGAAATACTTTATTAATCCCAATCTGGGAAATTGCATTGTTTCAGCAGCAGTTCACACTCAATATCAAGCACACAAACCAATAAATAAAATAAAATGGAAGCAAACAGATTTACAAAAGATGCACAGTGAGCTGCAGAGTGACAAGAGTGCCAACCAAATGGTGCACTGACTCCTGTGTATATAGTATTAGGTAGGTGATCATAATATTATGGCTGATCAGTGTATATTATACATGCCTATACTTAACTCAGCTCTAATCAAGTGTCCAATTTTTGCTTCAAGGGAAACTAAACCCTACTTCTGACATTTGGTTTCTTTGCCCAGTCCTACAATATGATTATCACAGGTGTCTCTTCACTTAGTATTATGAGGCTTTTCCATGTTCTTCAGTTTGGCTGAGATATGTCAAATTTAGTAGAGCACAACTGAGAACAAAATGCCTGTTATAAAAGCTGCATGAGGCAGCTCCCATGGCATGTTTTGGTGCATGATTTACTTTTAAATATCTAGAGCTTCTCAAAGTATAATATAATGTGAGCTCTAGTTTGGCATAATAGCAGTTTTGACAACAGGCTCTAAGCTTTGTCAGTCCAGAGATAAATTCACACCAGATCATTATAGAGGCTCTTATGGTATGAGCCTATGGAAAAACAGCTGTGACTCCTTCTAAGCATTTAAAGTGGCCACTGGCATTAAAACCTGATGAAGAGTGCAGACTGTCTGTAAAACCTCCCTCCATCACAAAGGTGAAAGCACAAATGCACACTAACATGCTCACGTTTCGCATATAGGCAGGTGCACAAACATGTTTCAATTTTAATTACTATTACTATCATTATTATTGTTAAGAACCAACCCAACAAATCCCCCTTGAGCAAGCACTTGGAGATAGTAGGATGGAAAAACTCCCTTTAACGGAAGGAACTGCCGAAAAGACCGTGGCTCTTGGTAGGTGGCCTTCTGCCTCGACCCGATGGGGTGAGTGGATAGAGGAGAGAGAGTGCTCTGCTCATGTGTGAACCATAAATGGGTCACAAGTGACACAGACAAGTCTCTTTATGGGGCACAAAGATGCATTATACATTCTTCTCGCTCTATTTTTATCTTTCCTGTAACTCTGTTTTACCTCCCACCCCAATCTATGCCCACTGTTTGGAATCAGGGGTATGAAAGAAACAGGAAAATTGAAACACTATGTCCCAGTACAATTCACTAGTCAAACAGTTACCCTTATCAAACATGCAACATCGAACCCATCACTAAATAACACTTAAACCTACAGTTTTGTCATGTCGAAACAATACAGGTCAGTTGTCCAGTTGAACGATTTTCATTATCGTCAACTGATTATTGCCACTCAATGCTCTGTGAGAGAATGCCCGTGTATGTGTTCGTACTCACCTGCCCCATACACAACAGAGTAGACAATACGTTTAGCGTGTTCTCGATCCTCAGATGTTACCTCTCTCTCATTCACCCCCTTCCTGAGTAACAGATATAAACACATTACAGAGAGAAAGAGAGAGAGCCCTACATGAAATATATGCAGTGGCTTCAGAAAGTATTCAAATTAGCAAAAATTGAAGAAAACATGTTTTACTTTGTCATTATGGGTTACTGAGTGTTGATTGATGGGCAAAATGGATTATCCATTGAAAATAAAATCTACTGAGTACTTTACCAGGCACTGTACATACAGTGCAATGTCGGAATATTTTTAGAGGTGAACAAAATGATGTAGAGGTGAAATGTTTAAGAAAGTCAGACTCTAACACGCTCAGAAAATTAACTGACAGTATAATCCAAAACTAAGCTTTTTTTAAGGAAAATGTGCAACTGAAATCCTTGGCTGGCCAAGTTTAACCATTTTTATAGACTAGATTAGAAACCGAATAATAATGACCCCCAGGTGATGATTTCCACACAGAATGGTAATACAATATTGTACAAATTGCAGAAATCAATTCAAATGCAACTATGATGAGTTGTTGCATGTATGAACAGGTTTGTTTAGATGTTTGTCCACTTTGATTCTTGTCCAGTCTGGTGGGAATTCTGAAACAGAGATAAATAAAATAAACCAAAACAATTAAAAAGAATGGGAGAATAAGGAAGAATACTATTGTGTGCAATAGAATAAAAATCCTAGATAGGCATAAGGTAGACATAAAAAGGCATAAACATGAGACAGAGTGGACAAAGACAAAAGGAAAAGGATTATAAACCCTATAAAAACACAAACAGCGTGAGACATGGAAGTTAAAAGAATATGAAGTATAAAGAGACAAAGAGGCTATAGAAAAGAGCAGAGAGAGGCAGTGATGGACTCAGACATTTATGTAATGTGACTTGTCATCAGCTGTAGCACTGGGAATCAGAGGGTGGGATGATATGTCTGCAAAGGACTTTCAGAGGGACTGATGTGGAGATTCAGCTTCTGATCAGTGTTCAAAGAGTGTTGTCATCTGCCTAACACCATATCCTGCAGGTTCAGCACTATGTGTTTCAGGATGTCAGGTGTTTTGATACCTGTAGCTCTTAAATATGAAGATATTAGGTAATTACTTTATAGTCCTTTTCTGCTGTTCTTGTTCTCTCCCACAAACATACACACATTTCTCTGGGAGCATTCCCCTTCACTGGGCATCTGGGTCAAGGAAATCCATACTGGATTTTTACCACCCCCTGCTGGATAGGTATTAATCAACTGCAGACAGATTGAGTCTGTCAAATTTTGAATCTGAATGATGAACATATGTTTGTCTTTAGCTTTCCTAGAACTGGCTTATTGCTGCTACATGTTAGTGTTTGACAGTTTGCTACAAGCTGGAGATCAAGAAAGCTACAAAGCTTCAAAAGCAGGTTTTGTGCATTACAAAGAAAAACCTAAATAATACTGGGCATAACAAGCAAACGGGTTCTGTAGCAGGCACAACGCTTCCAGCCATGCAGACTGAATAAAAAGTTTTCTACCCTCTGATCTACTGTAAACCTGTCTCATTCTGCAATACTTGGAAAGAAAGGTAGTTTCGACCAAAATGATTGAGGACATTACTGGTGAGAGAACGATATTGTGAAAGAAAAGGTTAAGAAAGAGGGAGAGAAGGAGAGAAAAAGAGAAAAAAGAAAATAACACGTAAAAGAGTGATAAAAAGGAAATGGGAATAAGAGTGGAGTAAGGGTAGAGAGGACAAGAAACTCGTTAACTACCTGAAAATAAAAGCAGAGACAACTCCAAGAAAAGAAATAAGACTATAAACGAGAGTGAAACAGATGGTCCAAAACAAGAGAGTAAGGATGAGTAATCCCAGCAGAGCTGCAGTGACACCAGTTAATTCATTTAAAGGTGACAGAGATAATGAAAGAGATACAATAGGCAGCCTCAGTAGAGCTGTTAATATGCTCTGTGTGACCAGGATTTCTGCTTAACCAGCTGCCCTCTGCTACACACTTGACTGAAATGGATGACATAAGTAAAAGTAGAACACTGGGACACATGTATACACACCAAACACACAGTGCTAAAAGAAACAGGACAGACCTGCTGTAAGTGTAAACACAGACACACACTGGCATCAAGACAAACGAAAAAAACATCCACTCACAAAATGCTTCAACAGTGTGATAATGTAATCACAAGGGCAACTGGCCCAGGAATCCTGTCTACGGAAAAGGGACAGCAAATGAGGTGGTTGGCATGGTAGTTATGGCAACAAGGTTATTAGCATTTGAAGTGAAGGAGTCATCAGTGTGAGGAGAAGGTGATGAGACTGGGACAGGGAGAGGGGAGGAGAAACCCATCAGAGTATCAACACTGATCATGGCAAGGATATCAGGTGAGAGCCTGTGTGAGAGAGAGAGAGAGAAGACCTACCACTGAGAAGCCAACATGGCAAAGACATCGGCCTGGGGGTTGGTAAAAACACGGAGCAGCTCAGGGTCAGAGGAGAGGTGTGCCAACAAACGAAGCTCCACCTGGCAGAAATCTGACGCACACACAGATACAAACATACACATAAATATATACAATTTCTTGATGACACATTAACATTTTGAAAAAGAGGCTTATTCACCTTATTACCAAGAGTTAGATGAGACACTGAGACAACTAATGTGTGAATGAATGTTACTTCGGCTTTTTACCTTTAGGGGTTGCCACAGCAAATCGTCACACTGACGTTTCGCATGTTGAGATTTGGCACGTGTTTTACGCCGGATGCTCTTCCTGACCCGACCCTGACCACAGCGGCACAAGTGCTGCGCCCTAACCACTAGTCTATCAGGGAACTACCAAGACAACTAATGTGTATGTGTGGTAAATATAAAGCCACTGGCAGCAGTTGGCTAGCTTAGCTTAGCTTAGCACAAAGGAGGAGACTCATAGACTGGAACAAATTCGCCCTATCAACACCTCCAGAAAGTTAGTGCACCTACAAAATAGTCAGACACAAAACCCCTTGTACAGTGAAACCAACACTTTACATTAAAACAAATTAAATATAAAGTGCTATTTTGTCAACTTAAGAGCTGTTGATAATCAAATAAGGTTTGAAGAGAGTGTTCTTTTTCAAAGAGAATTTACTACAAATACACATTTTTGCCAGTTTTTAAGTTGAACACCATCACTTTATGCAGAGGTTCACCCTTTCCACTGCTTCCAGATTTACCTGCATTTGATAGAAAAGTTTTCAGCCTTGGTCTGATTTTCCTAGAGGACGTAAATACTAACATACCTATGCAAGTGTCACAGTAGAAGCTGACCCCATGATTCTTTGACATGACAGCCTAGTGACGTTTGTTGCAACTACATGGCTACATCTTCTCCATCTAACCCTATAATATGCCTTGTATCAGGATCTTCTGTGAATGTTGGATCTGAAAAAAGTTAGATATTGTTTTTGTTTTTTTATACTGTTAAAACTCACACTGCTAGATTCCTATATCTCTCAGTGCAACAGGTCGTTTTGTGTGTATGCCTCACCAAAATTATGAAGGGATACATTTTGCTTTGGTCGAAATCTCCTATCACAGGCATTGTTACTGTCATGCGCTTTGAACTCTCGCACTGCTTTAAAACAAATCAATATCCATCCAACAAGAAAACAATAAATTATGTGAAAGCTTATGCTTTTAATAAATGATTCATGTGTGTAGATAAAGCTTTCATATTACAGTATGTAAGAGTAATCCTATAATTGTTTTTTTGGTTACAATCAACAGCAGAGGTCTGTTTAGACACAGGAGAAAACTGTGTAATTACAGGACAAACAAATTCAGAACAGTGATGTTGTAAAATACACAAAAATACTTCAGCTAAAAGGCTTCTGAGACCAAACTGTTTCACAAATCTGCCCACAGCACCTATATAAGCAAAGAGATAACCAGAGGCTAAAAAGGACATACAATGACAGACACAAACCCATCTGTCTCACCCATTTGCACACTAAAAATGTTTACAGATACACATAGACACATAGATACAAGACACACACACACACCTCTTTGTGGCAGTTAACAGTGTGTTAGGACAACATGTCTGGTGCTGAGAGGTTTACAACTCTCTTGTCAGTTTTGAAAATGTGAACTGACACGTCTCTCAAGACATACTCGCACATGCACAGTCGCACACACACATACAAAGGAAGAAACACAAACACACACTTAAGTCGACTCACACAAAGCAACTGCAGTACATTCCATTACAGCCATTCCAACCAGACACATCTCTTCCTCTCCTCAGCTGCTTTAAAATCAAATTAAGCCCAAGCAAATGTGGGGAAAATTGACTCAACATGGATGGGGGAAATTGTAACAGGTTAATGGGAAGAGAAAGGATGAAGGGTAGGTGGGTGAAACTGACAAGAGGATGCATCATGCACTGTTACATTAAAAAAGCTAGCATTGCATTAACAAACACTGAGGTAAATTTTACAATTTTCATCAGGGGAGGAGTGAGAAAAAATACCCTAGACTGTTCAGTTCAGGCTAAAATGACCATCAATTGCCATTTAATCCAGGTCAGACATAAACTGCAGAGGAAAAAGACAAAAGGGACAGGGTAAGGGAGCAATTTCACTGGGATGGACGGTGAGGTGAGAGATGGAGAGAGCAAAGACAAATGATTTTGGATGTGAAAACAGAAGCATATTGCTGACGAGAATTTGTCTGCGTGTGTGTGTGAGTGAGAGAGAGAGAGAGAGAGAGAGCGAGATGAAGAGATTGTGTGCAGGAGGTTTAAAGGAAAAGAGGCAGAACATTTGGGTTAATGTAAAAATAAAATGTGCTTATGAAATGGGGATAAATACTGTAATGTTAAATTACATGTGGATGTATGATCGTGAGCCAGTATATTATTATATTACAAATTATTAATTACATTAATTAAATCTGAAATAAACACAATAATTAGTTGTAGACAAAATAAAGCACTTTGCAAAAGCAGGTGTTTCTTGTGTAGGGTACAGTCTGAAGGAACAGAAATTTACTTTTATACTACACATATCTTCCTTTCAAATTTCCAGAGAGCATTAATGTACAGTGTAGCAGCATATATTACTTCAAACTAGAGCTATTAAAAACAATACATAAGTAGCTAGAGTACTAGCTCCTGTTGTTCCTTAGACTGTGCACTAAGATGCTGAGGGGACAAAGTCGAGTCTCATACATTTTTAATGTCATCAACCATAGTCCCCTGAACAGTGATGCTCTGTAGTACAGCACTGCATGAAGTATGAAGGTTATGAATAAAAGCATAAGAGCGTACTGCAAAAGTCCCATGTGAGCTGCAGTTAGTCTGGAAAGGCCTCCAGGATGAGTACATCAACCAGCATACAGGCCAAGGGAATGCAGTGATATACGCTGAACTGGATTGTGACAGTTAAAGTCTACTGGTGGCTAAAGGATCTCATATGTATCCTGTACTTCATACCTGAAAGCCATAAGGACTAGAGAAGGGACGAGACCAAAATCCCAAATCAAGTGAAGATTTATTTCAGGAACACAGCTGGTAGTCTAGATCTCAATAAATGTCATCCCCTCTAAATCTACCATTAATACAAATTTTGAGATCATGCTAAAATAATGATTAACAATAATATATATAAGCATATTAAATCTCACTGAGATATATCTATCCAAAGAAATGAGGACAGACCCTGACCTCCTATATTTTTTTCCATTTAGTGTTTAACATTTTATTTTTTATTCACATGACTGAAAGGTTTCCTGTGGAGTTTTAGACCTCTAATAATGCTTTGGGGATGGCTTTCTGTGAGTGGGTCTCTGTTTTGTTTAACTTGTGCATGTGCACAACAATGCACATGCATACATCAGGGAAGACACAATCCTACTATAAGTGTCACACTATTTCAGTCGCCATTTTGTTTGTTTCATGAATGTGCAAGCACTTAGGTGATGCAATATATATTTTTGCTGAAGGTTACATGTTATTCCTGTGATCGCTGATGGCAATCACGCACAACGAAATATGACAATGCAACAACAATAGGAATAAGAAGACAAAATCTACATGTGAACATAACTTTTGTTTGTTTAAATTAAACAGGGAGCTGTCAGTTAGTTGGCTACTGATCATGCGCACACACATGCATGTGAGCAAACCTTAAAAGCCAGTAGTCTGAAACACACTGGCTCACATCTGGTGTATTAAAATGAATCCACAAATGAAAAATATCAGGCCTACTCCTCAAAAATAACTGCTGTCTTGATAACAAAGCACATTATGCAACTGCTGTTAACATGTACCTTCAGCTTACATCATCCTGGGTCAAAATCATGCATTTTTGAAAAGGTACATAACATTTTTCAAGTAGCTTTTTTGTCCAGAATATAATAATGTGCAATAAAAGCCTTGCTGTTCAAAGGAAATATGTATAAACACAACACCATGATGTTCTGCACACTGGCTGCACACACTGCATGTGTTCCTACACTTAGAAAGAAAACTAACAGGGTTGATGAAGGAAATACGCCTGCCTTTGTTCTCTTTTTCCTCTCCCTGGAGCCCCTCACACACCAGCAGACAATCTCCCAACAGAAAACAACTGACTTGACAATTGAAAACATAAAGAACAAACACATAAATGAGGCACACACAGGTTGCCTGAGGACAGGAAGGGAGCTCCAAACGTAAAAGGAGAATGTATTTTAAAGAAGAGTTTGTTTTACTGTTGGTAAATCTTTACAGCGATGCCTTTTTACCTAAGCTAGGATTTGGATTCTACTGAGATTGTCATTAATGAGCACAACACACAAACATAAATTATTAGTGCTCTAATGTTGGCAAAATTTTAAATGGGAATTGTGAGATTTGTAAATGTGCATTAATTTGGAGAAGTGTATGTGTCCTTGGCCTCTTACCATCTAGTGGTTGCACTTATCCATCGTTACTCATAATATTTTGTTTATTAGTGTTGATTGTTTTATTGCAATGATAGAGCTCTTGTATCGGAATCAGCAGGTGTGTATCAGAATTGGATCGGAACTGAAAAAATGTGGCCCATCACTAGTTTCCGGGCAACATTGCCTCTACTGTAAGTGCATTTGTGTGCGGTTCTGTGAGAAATTGTTGGCCTACTGTTGTGTGTGTGCAGTTCTGTGAAAAATTGTTGGTCTACTGATGTGTATGTGCTTGTGTATCCCTTAAATGTGAAAGTAGGATCACACTCAATTTTCTTTATTCTGCGAGAAGAAAAAGCAAATTCTTGTTATTGAGTGTGATCCTACTTTCGCATTTATTATATAATATTATCTGGACAATTCACCAATTCTTCCTGAGCGCAGTGGAACCTGCACATAAAAATGCTTGTGAATCCCTGCCATGATGTTTGTACAATGTGTATGTATACTGTACGTATGTCCACATTCTTATTCTGCTGCCATCCTCCTGCTGACTCAGGTTTATCTCTCTGGTGTGTGACAAACTGTCAGGGCAGGCAGACACCCAGCCTTCTCCTGGGCTGACCTCAAAATGACCCAATGATGCCAGCTGGTATGTCAACATTAGGATTTTTTTTAATGATGATGAGCATACAAATCTAGCCTGTTATAGGCAATCTAGAGATTAAAACTAATACTGAAATTTCAGATATAAATTTGTTACATTTCAGGTTTTGTGGTTTATATCGGGTGAAAGTGGAAAAATAAAGGAAATAATCCAAGTTCATGATGATTCAATATTACACATTGTCCTACCTGCAGCGAGAAAGGTCCAGCTTTCCTGAGGAATGAACATGGCCCGAGGATGAACAGTTACAACCTCCTCCTCCCTTCCTGTGAGGACCAAACACAGACCCCTGAGCACATCAATGTCCTCTGCAGTGTGCTTGCACCTTTAACTGTACCAAGTGTGCTTTAATAGTCACTTATACTGTTATCTCTTTGAAAATTAAAATTCAGAATATTTTGACTGCAAAAGAAAACTAAAGCCTATTTTTCAGGACCAAAAGTGTTCCCAACATGCATGCATTTTCAGTTTCTCAGACCAAAAATAATCAAATAAAAAAAAACCTCATATTTGAAGTGATGAAAATATGATGTTTCAGGTCAAGTTTGCATGAATCCTCTAACACCTCAATGATTTATTAAATGTTAATGGTATTTTCTTTTGTCGTTTCGATTTCATGCATATACTTTTGAAAAAGGACATCACAATGACTAAATTTAACAAGGTTTAAAAAACAGTAAAGTTGCATTTCCTTACACCTAAATAACTTTTACCACTGGGTAATAACTACCGATTCTTAAAATCAAAATGTACAGCATTTGGTGAACAAAAGCAACTTGTATGTCATACATTATAAAAACAAATTTATGACAAATTCCACTGTAACTGCTGACAGGTTTAAAATGTGTGAGCTCCTAATTCTGTACCGTCTGGCGTTCGAACCAGTATGATCCTGTGTCTTGTTGAGCTTGTGATTTATGATAGGGGGTTGTTTTAAGTATGATGTTTTTGTTTTGCTGTTCGTTTATGTTGTTTTTTTAAGGGGTGTTGTGGATATTGTGTTAAGCACTTTGGTCAGCTTCGGCTGTGTTAAATGTGCTATATAAATAAAGTTGATGATGATGATGATGATGATGAATTCTGCTAGAAATGCAGGCTAAAAAAATTGCTAACCAGAATTCAAATGAATCTTCCATAGATAAGCAGAGAGCACATCACCAAGTAACATAACGTCAATGTAATTTGCAGATATTCTCATATCCTATATGTGTTTTGGTGGTTGACGAATAGAGTGACACAGGGACTCAGAGAAATGCAAACAGTGAGCAAGTGGGGACTTAGAGCAATAAAGAATTAATATTGACAACTGACTTAATGAGGAATTAAAGTATAAAGCCAGTACGTCCCATTTAGAAGCAAATCAGGATCAGTGTATCACTGCTGCTCTGAAGTGTTGACTTTAGTGAGATGTGTGTCCATAACTATGAACCATCACACTCTACATCAGTATGATGAAAATATCACTGTAGCACATGTGCACACACACACATTGACATTTAATATGCGAGTCTCCCTCACTAACAAATAGGAGCAGTGTAATCAGTTTTATGGCCTGGTTATGGTCTGACCTCTCACCTGAATGGACAAGAAGATAAGGGGAGGACAGAGGGTGAGGAGAAGGGATGCTGATTGAGGGAAGGAAGAGGTGATATGAGGGATGCAGCAGGGACTGAAGAGGATTTGATGACAAGGATCTTTGGGAATCTGAGCAAGTGAGCAGCAGCTGTGCTTATATGAGCACCTCTGAATCACTCAAACAAGGAGAATGAAGAATGAAAAGGAGAGTAACAGACAGAAATAGAGCTATAAAGGTGAGTGTGGCACAACTCAGTGACTGACAGCACAGTCAATGTAGCCTGGCCACATCAACATGTGGATGGAGTTGTGATATTTTATTCATCCACAAATGGAGTATGTTTTTGGAACTCACTGTCAGCCAGTTAATCTGGTACCTCTGGGGCAGGAAGTATTAAACTGACATTACTCCCAAAAGTACAGTGAAACATCCTCAATTAGGAGCTGACCATGTGTTAAGTGGTAACTGAGCAGTGACAGTCACAGAACCAAGACAGTATAGTTGGATGGATCAGATACTGGGTCAATTAAACATGAATTAAACACAGCTGTTCATTTTCTCAGATGTTTCAAGTAATTCTGTAACAGGACAGACACTACACAAGAACCATTCTCACAATAAACTCTGGTATATCCCATTTGCTTTTGTTAATTCACTACACCATTTTTCTCTTTGCCTTATCATACTGTATACTGCAGAAACAGAGAGAACTTCCATTTTAAAACATGCTTCACTTCATCTCTTTTGATCCAGCATTTAATGCCACACTCAAATGTGAAAATTTTCTGAAGACAAGGCAACACTGGAAAAAAGATGTTTCATTATTCAGTCCTGCATGTTCATGTAATGCTTACTATGCCGTTTTAAATATTATCATCATAAAATAATGCACATACATAAGAACTTGGGAGGCACATACAAACAACTCATACATCAGAATACACAATACAGTAGGATAACACAAATATAAAAAAGTCAGATTTGACACTTTTAAACAAGTGACCCCTTACTGCTGGAGACTTTTATCACTCTCATAAACCCTTTTTACTAGCTCATTGCTCATCAGTTTTTGTATGCCTCAAGAGATGTCTCCCTCACCCACATACACACACCTCGACATTTATCACTGTCTCTTTCTCCCGGACATGTGGGAAGGGTGTTTCTATGTGTATCCACCTTACCTTGGATGTACTGCATCTTTGTGATTTGAAGTGGCTGTCTTGGCAGGGCCTGGAAGTTCTGTTGGGGAGAAAACATATTCTGTAAGTGAACTGGAGTCCTGTACAGTATGTATTTATAGATATTTGTACTGTAACAGTGACTCATTTCTCTGTGGAAGCGGGGCTTCCTTTTTTCATCATAATGTTTTGTACAGATAAATTATTCCCTTCGGTGCGAAAACCTAAAAAAACGAAAATCTAGCTCTACATTAATGAGAAAGGTATATGTATATTTGTATATTCCTCCATGGTCCTTTGAGGCTGTAATGAAGACAAGATGAATGTGTGGAAGTGACCTTCACTTGTGTGCATTTGAGTGATTTTGTCCTTCCCTAGCTTTAAATGAGGATGTCTGTGGTAGCACCAACAAGTACTGCATGTACAATAATTCGGCATATTAAAATGTTACTAATGCTGAGCGTTTTAAAGGGGCACTCCACGGATTTAGTATCACCCTTTCATAAACTGAGGGACTTGCAAAAGGCAGATTTAAAAAAGTCAAATGGCAGCAGAAGCCAAGCTATTCAGACTTTTAGTTCCAACTATAGGTCTGGATCAATAGTGTACTTTGTGAGACTCCCTACTTGGATGTCCACTTCTCAGACACCTCAATTTATAACAAAGTCTTTATGTTAAAAAACCATGACAAAAATCTGTGACAAGTAAAGTGAACTTCATATGTGAAATATGTGGAGCGCCCTTTTGCTTTCTCTAGGTATCTGTTTATGGTAGATGTCATATTTTCCCAAAAATATTAAAGGTGAATGTACACACACCTGTAAAGCCTATGTAAAATGAGGAAACCACTGGCTGCAGATGTTTTCATAACACTACAAATGCCCATGTCAGATCTTCATTTTTTGTATTGCTTTGAAAGTTTGTTGGTTTGATGAATATATTTTACAAGTTTTACTTTTGAATCCTGTAACAAATGCTGCTGCAATGACCCATTTTCCATAGCATATACTGTACATTACAGTAGGGAACAAAGAATCTTCTAACCATCTAATGAAACAAATGCATAGTTGTGAATGAATAAATAATTAATGGTTAGATTAAAACATTGGAAAAGTCAGTTTTAATCCTAATGTCACACAGTTAAATAATTCACTTCCTTGACCGTCTTTGTCTTCACGTGAGACTCTTAAAATTCTCAGTTCCCTTTTTCTAATTTTCCATGACTGGAGAAAAACCCATGCAGCATTTATATGGTGCTTGGCTAAGATTAAAAAGAGAACATATAGCCATCCTAAGGCCTCAGCAAACACTCCAGTGCAGATCTTTAATGTTTTCAGACACATATCTTAAAATAGGAATAGCCTGATGCTCACTGGGCTCTCAGCCCACCCTGCATCGACCCACTGAGTAATCTAAGATGTTGCTGAGGTAACAGCACACAAAGTTAAATATGTAGTTTTTTCTGCCCGATTGAGCAAAAATAGGATAAGTGATCAGACTCACCGGCACACACATACACACAAGTGGGCAGAAGAAAAAAGCAGATTTAGACTCAGCAGTGCCATTTGAATCCCTGTTAATCCCACTGTATACACCCCTTGAAGCACACACACAAAGTGCACAGGGTGGTGAGGAGCATGTCAAAGATTATCGAATGTGTATGTGACTGGTTTGACCCTGTAATGAATGTTCATAGTTGTGTGTGATCTAGAGAAAACAACTCTGCTTCTGCCAGGCATTCATTATTTACTAGATGAAGTAAGAGAGATGAAAAGACAGGATTGCAGTGGCAGGGTGTAGACACCAGTTATAAGCACAGCTACACAACACACATATTCATAGCTACGACGCTCCTACAACTGTTGGAGATACATGACCTGCAGTATTTGAGGCAGAATGAATGCGAAAAGGTGCAGGTAATTTCAAGTGTGTGTTTTCTGTGTGGGTGTGTTGGTCTGTGATGTGACAGGAGATTCAGTGTATCAGATGTGACTGCTCAGCTTTTCCCAACATGCACACTGTTGCAGCATAAATCAGCACTTGGCACTCACATACATATTATATACTGTACACCAGAGCAGAATGAATGGCCTGACAGGTCAGCACACTAGATACTCATTTTTCTCAGGTACACTCAGACCTCTTCTTTTATCTTATACACACATTTTTTCTGCTACTGCAAGACCTCACACACACACCATGCTGCAGAGTAAAGAAACAAAAGAGGACCCGACAACTAATGCAAATATAAAAACCTGCTATGATGTTATGTCATACAGATCCTAGTTTGCAGAAAAGACACATGTACACACAATGCTTTATAAAAACCATGGCTAATGATCAACACATTTAAGAGCCAGCTACCTCATTAACGTTAATAGTTGTTGATTATTGTAATGCAAAACTAGAGTGATGTGCTGTGTTATACAATGCAATCAAAACCTCCAGAGCTTCTTAAAGAGAAAGCTAGATGTTACCATGTAATAGGAGGAATGAGAAGAAAAACAAAAATATATAATGACAAAGAGATGGAAAGGAAGGAAGAAAAGAAGAACAGATCAAGATATTTAAGAAATAAAAGAGGAAGAAGATCAGAAAGACAACAGAAGGAGAATCACAGAATTAAACAGCAGAGATGCAGAGTGACTACATTACATGCATCACTACAGTTTGAGAGAGGGAGGATGAAGGAGAGAATGTAAAATACGAAATAGTCTGGGTCAGCTTGCTTTGCTTACTGCTGCTGACTATGCAATCTAAAATACACACACAAGCATATATAGACACAATCCCTCTCCCCAGCACTAGTCAATATACATAAAAACTTCAATGTATGCACACCAAAGAAGATGATCAGTGCCTGACCTTCTCAAATACATAGAAACAACACGAACATGGCTAATAATCAGAGGCAATACATGCATACTGTCTAACACATAAATGCAACTTAAAATGCAAACAAACACCCAACACCTGCTGTGTGTAGTCCAATTATCACCCTTACTGTGTCATGAGGAATGGAGAACTAGTTTGTAAATGGACACTGTGAGGGTCAGACAGAGATCCTGTTGTGGGTCCAAACAAGTACACAATGAATACATTCACACTGCAAATACACATAAACCTATCTGTAAGCAGAAAGAAGAGAGAAGTGTGTGTGTGTGTGTGTGTGTGTGTGTGGCATATTAAAATGCACAGACACACATGAGCACCAGGAAAGGACAAACTCCATTAAGCAGCAGTTCATGTTCTTGTTCATCCCCTAATTAGATCAACTTGAGCTGACACATATAAGCTACTATTTCTCTGAAGCTTCTTCCGGTTCTTTTAAACCAGGAACTCTCAATGAGACGAAGTAGACTGCTTTAGATTTTATAAAGAATAACCGTGCTGGTTTATTCAGAGGATCACAGGTAAAATTCACATTACACGTCCAGATCTCTCTCACCCCTCTACCTGCGCGCAGGCACCAGAAAGAGATCAAGAAACCTGGACCAAAAAGCCTATATAATCTTAATAATTTTTTGGGCTAGCCCATGCTACAAGGGGCGTCAAAACCGTGACGTCACCTGATAAGCCAGCTTTGCAGCTGACTCTAACGTTAGCCAAAACATGAGGAAAAGTCAAGGTGCGTGACTGTTGTTTTCGTGGTGTGTATCTAAAACAATTGGACATAACCTTACACATTAAGACAAATATTAAGACTAGCATTACAGTTGACCCTAACAGCTCTTTTCCTGTAACCTTGACGTGCCTGCAGTCTGCACTGCAAGCACAGTTAACAGCCTGAGCTAGTCAATCTGTCTCCACTAACATTTCTAGACAACAAATCTCTGAATATCTATCTAACTAAGAAATAACCTAACACACAAATACTTTTTATTACCCTCTGTTGCGCACATATAGAAATGCACACTACATAAATATTGATTGGTTGTCAACACAAAACATACTGTACACACACTACTTGAAAATATGAGCCAAAGACTGCCAAACACATCACCATGCTTGCTTTTGTTTTCCTCTCCTGTGCTCATTGACTCTGAATGGGCCACTTAATCATGCAGATGTGTTTGTTTTCTATGTTCCATGTTTCTACTACTCATGCTGTGAGCAACATCATTCCTAATTCTGCATAACAACCCACCGTTTGTATTCTTTAATACCCCCTCATGTCCTAATATAGGTGCATAATGGCCTGGCTCTTATTGGTCCTCCAGTGGGCCTGCATGGACCCCACAAGAGCATCACAATTGTTGTTGCTAAAGCACCTGTTAGCGCTGTTGACCTGAAGATTCATGTTTTTAGATGTGTCAGCAGTGGGTGAAATATTCATGATAGCTGGGTTCAGGCTACTTTATTTGCAGATAAGATGCAGATAACAAAACAATCACTTAAAGTATTCATTGTGAGAGGCTCAGTGTGCTCAGGTCCTCTTAGTCCGACAGCATTTAATTACTTTATATTCAATATGTATCTGCACAGTATGGCATTCTGTCTGCTCTTTCATTAAAAAACTATCATGAGTACTGAGTTAGTTCAGGAGGATTCTCATGTGTTCTAAATTTCACACCAGGATGGACATTTAACACACTCCCTAAATGTATTTCTCACAAAGAAGATATTTGCAATCTTCCACTTATCTAACATGCTATGCTTCCTGTTGAGTGTGAAACCAGCTACCTAATAGCTCTCCACCTCTGTTTATGTTCTGGCAGCAGGGTGGTACTGTGAATATTTAGAACAATCAGTCAAATGGAAAGACCTGGTTCAAGCTCTGTGGCTATGAACACCTACTCTCCTAAATATGTCCTTGACCAGGCTGAATTAATCTGAAGAAGCAAAATTAATGGATTATATTTTTAAAACAAAATAAACAAATATTACTTTCACTATACCTTAGATTAGTAACACATACAAGGGAGTTCAGTACAACTGTATTTGGGGCCAACTTTATGATGATTCATTGGACTGAATATATTTGTTAATAACATCAGAGTGAACAATTCTATTTAAAGTCATTCAAACTGTTCCGATAGTGCATCTGGCACTAATTATAGAGATTGTGAAGGTAAATAGAGTGAAAGGCACCCCACAAATCTGCCCTGCATTTTCATGAACGTAAATGTGACGCACAGAGAGACAGAGCGAGTCTCAGAGGACGACTGCCTTGTTAAACAGATGGGGACAACTGATTCACTGTGCTGGTGTTTGGTAATTTAATCACACTACACCAATTTAATGACTCACCACAGAGCACAAACATACAAACACACATACATGTCTGTAAGCATCCCCACTTGTGTGTGCACACAAATAGACACTGGCAGCGCAAAATTATCTCCATTAACACTGCAACTGCAAATAAAGATACTCGTCAAAATCCATCTGCTCATCTTGGAGAGATACTGTATTGGCACAAGGCCACAAAGCCCACGACCAGCATCTATATTAGTTAGTAAGATGATTGACTGGAAGGCACAAAGGCAGTTTCCTGGCTTCAGTTGTTGACCCTCTGAACTCTGAGATTTCTCCTGGTAGCATCGCTGATAAAGCCTTTATTTAACAGGGACTATGGCTGTTAGGTTGATATAATGGGACAGATAAGGGACTCTTGTGGCATGGCAATTTGATCCAGCCACTAAGCAGTTGCACCTTTTGCCCAAAAGTCATTATCATTAGAATCCCAGGTTTCTGTCAAAATTATCAGGACAGAAATCAAACCAAGTGCACAAACATAAAATATGGATAAATTAAGAAAGATTAAAATGAATTTTCATGAATACTGTATTATTCCACTTTACTATCACTTTTAATAAGAAAATTGGTAAATTGTTGAAATACAAAACAAGTATTTTGAAGAGATATTTTCATAATCATAGCTACCAGAGTGACTAATACAGCTGTGTTACTAAGTATTTATTGGTACTTGGGCATGGTGAATATTCCAATTTTATTTTAAATTACAATTTTGATTTCCAACAATTATAAAAACAAGATAATCGAGGTAAAACAATTAGTCTTGAGAGGGCTTTCTGTAAGTAGAAAATATTTCATGAATAAATGCAGAGCAATTTTACATGAACATTAAGCTGTTCAATAGGAAGCTCAGTTGGCAGTTTGGGAACACAGCTACACAATCATATAACAAAACACTTACTTAGCATCAATAATACAACAAAGCACCATCTTTCTGTACTGCCATATCAAATATTTTCATATGCCACATAAAACAGTCTAAAATTAAAATTGTATACTTATAGCATGAGAGTATAAATCTTTGAGTGGCATAAAGGGCTCAAGCACAAGCTGAACAGTGCAGTAAGAGAGCAGATGACACAGGACACAGCACTGGATCAAGGCCTTTTTTCCATTATAGCTCCAATCAGTCAGGATGAATACAGGAAAAAAGTTAAATATGATTTGCCTACTTCTGTTTCACTATCGGGCTATTAATAGTGTTAATGAGAAGGAATGTGCATTTGAGGGGTGAAAGAAAAAAGCACACGGAAAGGGAGTGAACAACAAAAACATTAACGTTTCACTATCGGGCTATTAATGGTGTTAATGAGAGGGAATGTGCATTTGAGGGGTGACAGAAAGAAGCACACAGAAAGGGAGTGAACAACAAAAACATTAATAGGTACTGTACACAGAGAGAAAGAAGAGAGATGGAGATTCAAGAGAAAGGGAAAGAAAAACTGGGAGAAAGAAAAGCTGACAGGAGAAGACACAGAATATGGCAATGCAAGGGAAAAAACAGATCAGACTCACAAACAGAAACAGTGTAGTTGAACAGCTTCAGATAAAAACAGAGCAGAAAAATCCCCACGTCCCTCTGCAGCAAAACTCACTATAAACTCAGCGCCAGTTTTATGGTTGCCCTGTTTTAATTCAGGCACCTTTTTGTTACTGCAGTCTGGCTTCACCTCGATTGAACTCACAACAGATGAAAGCTAAACCTCTCTGCAAAAGTCCACATTTGAATATGTGCGTGTATATGAACAATGTGTGTGTGTGTGGAGTGGTGATTGGCATAACGTCCTTTTCTCCCTTAACCCCAAACTGCTGTATAAACTTCAGCTTTTTCCCTTCAAGACAACAAGCATGTTAGCGATCATGCATGGGTATTCAATTAACTACCCACACATTCCACTCCACATTATGCTTTTATGAGTAAATTTAATTTATGTGCAAGAATAATACGTTTAATAAAATAATTTTTAATAAAAAAAGTGTTAAAAGGGAGTTGACTCCTCTCCCCTCTGACTCACTGACAGTAAACTGGCACACACACCCTAATACAGCAACACGCATCTACCCAGGTAGAAGCATCCACACACTTAATATGAACTACATTGGAGCAAAGGAAACAGAGCTGTGTTAAATCATAGCTGGCCAGCAGTTATATATTGGCTGTATGATCAATACAATGTCTAGCTAATATCAGTTGCAAATTGCTAAGCATGGATAAATATATTATATACAGTATATACAGAATATACAGTGTGTATGCGCGTCTGACAGAGCAGTACTCTGTGCAGAACCACTGGACCTTGACAGTTGGGTAATGTTAAAATGAGCTATCGACCGCCACATATGAAGAGAGAAAGAGAGAGAGCAAGAGAGAAGGTGATAATCAAACTGACAAGCATAAAAGAGACAAAGCATTTGTTTGTAGTGGTCTGTTTTTGATATATGTATTATTTGGCACATTGTGTCTGAGTGTGTAATAGACAGAGACAAAGAAGGAAAATACGTAGTTCTCCATGACCAGCTACATCTAACACTATACTTTTGGTGATCACTTTATAAATTAATTTAATTACCTTTTCATTATTTATTCAAACCCATTAATCACCTCTATGAACAACTATCTGAAATATAGGTTAAAATAGGCTATTTTATCTTTTCTGATTGTCTAAATGAGGCTTTTTTCAAATACTAAATTGTACTAAATTTGTAAATATAAATATATGATGCAGGTTATGAGGTTTGCCATTGTTGGGGCACTGTAGTGGGTATCAGTAATAATAAATAAGAATTCTGAAATCTATAGCTTAAATATTTCTATAGATTTATTTCTTTTCTAAATATTTTCTTATAAGATTTAAAGCCACTCTCATTGTGCATTGCTATTCTTAGTGTGCAGAATTATGAATATTTCAGTAGGATTATTTCCCTTACTCTATAAAGCTCTAGACTCTCTCTGTCAGCCAGATTTATTGTCTGTCTGAAACATGCACACCCTTATTTATTTAGAGGGTTTCAACAATGACTACTTTCTTTGAAATACAGTTAGAGTACTGTACAAACATACACATACCATAGGCCACCATTCACACACCAAATGTCTTAGTGTGTCTTAGAAGCATCCCTTAATGTCTGAGTAAAAATATACCTGAATTGTATGTATCCTTCACTCCATTAACTTGTCTAATTTTAACTGATAGACACTAATTTTCTTCTTTTTCCATTGCTGTAATTTACTGTGGTGTTCTGGGTATTGTTGGCATGTACAGGAGCATGAACCTGACCTGCAGGATAGCAAATCCACCCAGGTCCAGCATGCAGTACAGCACCATGGACATCTCCACTAACTCAACATTGCTGACAACACACGGAGGGCGGTCTGTAGCAGGCACTTAAATCATACAACTAGATCAAAGATTTAAAAAAAAAAAGACAGGTTATACTCACTGGGTGTTTCGCTGAGATTCTCCCAGTCACAGCACTTGTCTGGGACCATGTAGAGGAAATGTAGTTCTGTTGACAGATGGTCAGAGAGAAGGAAATACAGACATTATTTAATAAGTTCAGATAGATAGATAGATAGATAGATAGATAGATAGATAGATAGATAGATAGATAGATAGATAGATAGATAGATATACACACACACACACACACACACAGTACATGTAAGTCAACTAAGTGATCAGTGATGTTTCCACATTGCCAACTCGTAGCCAATTCAGCTTGAAAACAACAGCTGCAGTCCTCATTGCCATCATCACTTTGATTCTGCTTTTGGACCAACAGGCATCAACAATGCCATGTAACTGCCTGATGTCCAGTTTGAGCAAGCTGTTTACAGACTGTGGTGCCAGTTCTGCTGGTACAATAAGCAGGACATTCAACAACACTACTGTGCTCAGGGCTGCTGTTGTATGATATAACCCCAGCATCCGTTTACAGCCAAAAGCTTGTTAACCTGACAAATGAGGGAACTATGGTCAACAGTGGTTGATGTTCCACTGATAAAATTGAGTTGATTGTAGTGTAAACAGCTAATTATACTCTAAAGACAACAGAATTCCATGTGGTCTAGTATAATAATACTGATTACATAGGACAAAATGACTATATTGCCAAATAACATTTAAATATATAAACTACGTATCTGTTTGTTGCATGTTGTTAGATGCAGATATGGCAGATATACAGATGAATCTCCATCCATCCATTATCTATCCCACCTTTTCTGAAGAGGGTCGAGGGGAGCTGAAGCCACTCCCATCTGACATTGGGTGAGAGGCGGGGTATACCCTGGCCTGGTACTGACTCATTTAGTCAGCCAAATATTATTTTGCATGTTAGGACTTTAAAGCTACAGTGTCTACCTCTTTTATAATATTTTTTGTTGAAATATGCTCCAAAAAATTAAAATAGAAAGGTGCTGATTCACAGGCTTGCAAGCTCCCAGTTAACTGAGATGACAAGAATGAGGCTTTGATTTCAAGTTTTACAATATTGCTATCTTGACTTCCTGATCTTGCATATTGTAAGAGTTGCCTGGTTGATTGAAATAAACAGTGTGTGCATCAAACCACTTCACTCAGTAGCAGGCACTTAGATGATTTTTTTTCTCAGAGAGAAAGACACTTATAAAGACATATAACCTACCCCTAGTTTGGATTTAGGATTATAGGAAACTACAAATATTCATATCTAAAATATTGCTATTGTTTAATATAATGCTATAGTAAAAATGTGTATTTGGTTTTGGCACCCTGCTCTAGCTGGTATCAATGACTGCACTGTCCAAAAGACCACCAAATGAATCAAGCTAATCAGAAACCAAACAGCTTTAGAGACAGCCAGGCACAGTCATTTGCAGAGTTGAGTAAGCACAGATTAACAAACACAAGCTGTTGCACCCATAGAGTTGAACAAAGACCATGTGGGGGGACAATCACACACAGAGTTATATTATTATTCTGCCAGTTTCATACAGTAGTTGCAGTAAACAGGACCAACAGCTTGAGGGGAACCAGCCCGGAAAAAAAGTTTCACAGTTACATTACTACAGCTGAAACATCCAAGCCTGTGAATGTTACCTGCTGTGGCCAGTGCATGTGCATATTAACTACAGCACAGCAGTATTATGATGATGACATTCACTCCAGCAGCATCTTTGACAATAGAAAAACAAGATTTGTCTGTCTAGGAGCATACAAGTACTGTTCTAGTGTACAGATGCAGAACCAAACTGTGAGCGGAGCAAAACTAAATCTGTGTGGGATCTGTGTGAGTGTAGCCAATATCAGCATCTCAACTTTTGGTTGCACTCTAGTTTTCTGTCAGTCCAGCTTCTAGTCTAGTAAAATCCATAATCCCACGTGAGCAGATGAGATTTGCAGAGTTGTGAAAGATCATGCTGGTAAGAGTTGTAAAATGACTGTGGATATCATGAATATTTTACATTTTAGATACGTATTTTGCTAACATTTTTGCTATATGCAGCTGTGGCTCAGGAGGTAGAAAGGCTCGCCCCCTAACCATAGGGGAGACAGTTCGATCCCCGGCAATCTTCACTCCACATGGTAAAGTGCCCTTGACAAGACACTGAACCCCAAGTGTGAATGTGTGAGTGTTTGTGGGTGAATGAGAAATAGTGTAAAGCACTTTAAGTGCACTTCAGTATGTAAAAAAAAAAAAAAAAAAAAAAAAAAACATTTTAAAAGTATAGGACAATTTACCATAGAGCGGCCTGAAACCAGCTGTAGGCTCACCTTACTCATCATGCATGAGAGAATTCCATCAACGAAAGTGGACTTGATCTTGTGAACCTGGGTGTAACGACAGAGATATTTTTTACTTCAGTATTAAAGGCAGCATTCTTAAAGGGCCAAACACTGTTCCTCCGTAAGGGATCCTCCTTAACATACACTGGCTATCTCACATTTGATTTGGATGGTCCTGTAATAAACTGCTGTTTTAGTGAGCAAAGGAAACCCCTTTGCAAAAACTGTTTTTGACAATCCTGGCACATGAATAGGAAGCAGCAGAGAACATGACTGACCTGCCTGTATTCTAGTATGATCTTTGGTAGAGGGTGCAGGTCCTGAAGCTGTAACAACTGTGGCAAAACAAGATGGAGGAGAGAAAGGATGAGAAAATAATGTTCACAGAAGAACTCACTTCAAGCAAACATCTAGCACAATCCTTCAGCTGCATTTTTTTGTTTGGCAAGATGCCTATCTATTGATCTGTATGTAGAGGTACTTACTGTCCTTGGCAAATATATCAAATGCTAAACAGCAACAGTGAATCATGTGAACTGAGTGTGTTTATGTATTTATGTACACCTGTAGTTGAGATGGTATTCTTAGACTGAAAGAGATTTGAGGCTCCATCTGACATATCTGTGTGTGTTTGTGATTGTGTCTGTGTGCTCCATACCACAGCTTCTGATGTTGACTGCTGCTGTTTGTTGATGGTCTTGGGAAGTTTCTTGTTCTCGCAGCGCTCATGGAGGCGCAGTTTCTCAAACAGAACCTTCAAACATTGGAAATCAACAATATATACAAATCCATAACATTGAAACATGCATGCAACATAAAAAATACACACATGCCAATGTATGCATACACACACAAAGAAAACATAGAAAAAGAGGTCAAACAAACTGTCAACACTTCATGTTTTCTTTTCCAGAAATAGTTCAAGACCTTGCAATATTACAATACAGGTTCAGGAGAAGAGACATGCATGCACATGACACACAGAGGTACACATAAAGGTACACACAGTTCGTAGCTGAGTGCTGCTGGTGACCAGGAATTTCTGTCCGGCTGCTTGGTGGGCCTCCTGCTCTAACTGCTTCATCTTAGTCTGAAAGAAAGAGAGTGAGACAAACAGATAGAAACACAGTCAATTAAGTCAGACTAGGCCAATGTAGCATGACAGCACTTCTTCTTCTCCTTCTTTTGGCAGTTAGGGGTCGCCACAGCGAATCATCGGTTTCCACCCAACTCTATCCTTGGCATCCCTACTCTGGCCCCAGTTAACTTCATGTCCTCTTTTAGCACATCCATATATCTCCTCTTTGGCCTTCCTCTTGACCTCTTGCCTGGCAGCTCCATCTCCAACATCCTCCTACCAATATAACCACTACCCCTCCTCTGCACATGTCCAAACCATCTCAATCTGGCCTCTCTGACCTTGTCCCCAAAACAGCCAACCTGAGCTGTCCCTCTGATGTGCTCATTCCTAATCCTGTCCATCCTGGTCACTCCTAAAGAGAACCTCAACATCCTCATCTCTGCTACCTCCATCTCTGCCTCTTGTCTTTTCCTCACTGCTACAGTCTCTAACCCATACAGCATAGCTGGTCTCACTACTGTCTTGTACACCTTTCCTTGGATTCTTGCTGACACTCTTCTGTCACACAACACTCCTGACACCTTTCTCCACCCACTCCAACCCGCCTGCACTCGCCTCTTCCCCTCTTTCCTACACTCCCCATCACACGGGACTTTCCACCCCAAATACTTAAACTCCTGCACCTTCTTGACCTCAGCCCCCTGTAGCCTCACTGTTCCACTTCCCTCCCTCTTGTTCATACATATGTATTCTGTCTTACCACGACTGACTTT